CATGGATTACAAGAAAAAAAAACAAACATTTCGATCATGGATTACAAAAAATTCGATCATGGATTACAAAAAATTCTATCATGGGTTAACAAAAAAAAAAAAAAAAAAATTCGATCATGGATTACAAAAAAAAAAAAACAATTCGATCATGGATTACAAAAAAATCGATCAAGTATTACAAAAAAGTCTATCATGGATTACAAATTACAAAAAAAAAAAAAAAAAACCGTACGGGACTCGCCGATTCACTGTTCGGACTCGCTGATTCCGTACAGTGAATCGGCGAGTCACTATACAGAATCGTTCGGTTCTCTCTAGAACCGGACGATTCCCGTTTTTTTTGCCGATTCGATCCGTCTATGGCGATTCCCGAGTCGAACCGGGCGAGTCCGGTTCGACTCGGCATTTTCTTAAACACTGGCTTCAACCCGTTTTAATAAAAAAAGTTTATATAAGGTTGCAATCTTAAATTGTAGAATTAAGGTGCACCTCAAAAATCCATCATAAAGGTTGTTTTAATGTTGGAAAACTCTCTTATCATCTCAACATCAAGATGTGTGAATATGAAAAGAAAAAAAGATTTCGAATCTCAAAAATAGTATATCGTGCAATACATTATCTGGACCGTCCATTTTCATGTTTTTCATGTGTTTATAGATCTACTTGATGTGAAATATTTTTGGAGTTTAAAATTATATAATTTGATATCAAAATAGATTTTCATGTCGTCTTCAGAATTTCTGACACCAAGATTATATTTATGATAAAATTTGGAGTCACGTCTTAATTTAATAGTTTAAAGTTGCAATGTTAAGTAAAACCTTATTAAATGGGACAAAGTGTGTACTCCGGTAGATGAAGGGGATATGAGACTACAAAAAATGCTTGCTATGAATAGTGCACTCTTGACAAAATGGTGGTGGAGTTGCGCAACAGATAGGAATCAATTATGGCGAAGGATCTTAAGTGAGAAATATGGTGAGGATATTGAACATGGGTTAGATGCAAAAGGTATAAGGAAGAAAAGTATTGCTTCTATTTGGAATGGTATTTTAGCCCATATATTATTCTTTTTTAATAATGTAAGAAACATTATAGGGAAAGAAAATAAGTTGAGATTTTGGCACGAGAAATGGTTAGGTGAAAGTCCTCTTAAGAATTTGTTTCCTCTTCTTTTTGCCAATATTAGTTAAAAAAGTAAAACAGTATATGATACAGTGGAGGGAAGTGGCTTCACATTAAGGTGGGATATCTGTTGTTCATATAGAAGAGTAAGTAATGAGGTTGTAAATAAATATACTCAATGTTTGGAGCTCCTAAGTCACTTCTATTATTGTCCTGAAATTGAAGATAGAGTGGTTTGGGAACCTATTAGCAGTGGTAATTTTTCATTTAGCTTAGCTTACAAACTGTTATATAATTATCATATTGGATGGATAAAGAGGCTGGAAAAATATGGAAGTGGCCTATCCCTTTGAAAGTAATAGCCTTTTTATGGCTATTGAAATTGAAGAAAGTTTTACCTGTTGACATGTTACAAAGGAAAGGTAAAATTATTGGCAATGTTTGTATAAATTGTAAACGTAATGAAGAAAATGTTGACCACCTATTATTAAACTGTAGTTTTGCAAAGGAGGTTTGAGCCTTGATTCTTATGGGTCTGGATTTGAATGGAGTGGGTTCAGTACAGGTAGATGATATATTTGAGGATTGCTTGATGATTGGATTGAGTAAAAAAGGTCGTATTAATATCTTGGGAGATTTGGAAAGAGAGGAACCAGCAGTGTTTTGAAGATAAAAAAAAAAACTGCTAAACATGTGGTTGAAAAAATTAGGAATGTAGTGGCTGATTGGCTTGGATTTAATAACCTTTGGTGGGGTGTTTCTCGGTTAGACCTTATGTATAATTTGAACATTATGATACAAGATTGTCTGCAAAAAATTATAAGAGTAGTATTGTGGAAATGTCGGGAAGTTGGATGGATTAAAGTAAAATTTGATGGCAGTTTTATAGACAATCCGGGTCCTACAGGTATCGATGGGATTATTAGGGGTAATAATGGTGAGATTTTGAAAAAATTTTATGGACCAATACAGACTACTACTGCAAATGAAGCAGAGTGTAAGGCTGCTTTGCAAGGT